CCCCTGGAAGTAGTGAAAAGGCTTAGCGACGTAAATTATTTGGTATGTACGCCTGGGAAAAAGAAATCTAATCATGTGTACCATGTTAACCAGCTTAAGGCATACTATGCTAGTCCTCTACCTAGTACATCTATTCTTCCTAGGACAAAGGAAGAAAACGTCAGTCTACCTGACATCTCTAGAGGTATAGAGGTGCCTTTAGAAAATTCAGTGACTCTACAGTCTCTAGACGATTTTCTTAGTAACCTTGGGATTGATAAAGCTGGTGATATTAAAAACATGATTTTGCATTTCCCTGAATTGTTCAGTGATGTTCCTAAACGTTGTACTCTAGGTGTACATGACATTGATGTACAGGGAGCATCACCCATTAAGCAATCACCATATAGGATGAGTCCAACAAAGCATAAAGCATTGAGAGAAGAGGTTGATTTAATGTTATCTCACGGACTTATTGAGCGCGTAAAAGTCCATGGGCATCTCCCTGATTTTAGTGCCTAAACATGACGGTAGTTTCAGGATTGCACTGATTACAGGAAAGTGAACTCTGTCACCTTGCCTGATGGTTTCCTCTACCTCGCATTTTACGACCTTATTTACCGTTTGTCAGGACCCCCCTTTGTCAGCCGTTTAGATCTCTTACGAGGCTATTATCAAGTCCCGCTTACTGAACGTGCTCAAGAAATATCTGCTTTTACTGTTCAAGATGGATTGTTTTTAAATACCTCGTCACCCCCTTCGGCCTATGTTTAAAGCGGGTTCTTCATTCCAACGTATAATGAACGAGTTGACCCACAACTTAGGAGTAGAAGCCTACCTTGACGACTTAGTGGTGTACAGTGACGAGTGGGAACAGCACTTGATGCGTCTCAGAGCATTGTTTGGAGACTGGCGCACTACAACTTCACTCTCAACTTAGCTAAATGTAGTTTTGGCCAAGCCAAGATTACCCATCTAGGCTTTTGCATCGGCCAAGGTGAGGTTTTCTCCTATTGAGGCTAAGGTTCGTGCAATTTCTGAATTTCCAGTGCCACAGGATAGGAAGGGAGTAAAAGAGATTTCTGGTATGGCAGGATATTATCGCAGGTTCTGTCCAAACTTTTCTCAGATTGCAGCTTTCCCCTTACTGAGCTTACTAGTAGCAAAGTTCAGTTACCTGGACTAGAGATTGTTCAGACTCGTTCAAAAGGTTGAAGCGCTTGCTATCCTCTGCTCCCTTTTTGAAAAGTCCTAATTTCAATCTTCCCTTCTTTTTAAAATATAGATGCGAGTGGCAATGCAGTGGGTGCTGTGCTGCTCCAACAGTCAACATCCACTGACATTCTCCATCCTATATGTTACTATTCATCTAAACTTAAACGACACCAGAAAAATTATGCCAGTATTGAGAAAGAGGCTCTACTCTTGTGGTGTCCTTGGAACTTTTTTACGTGTATTTGGGCACTTCCCCATTTAAAATTAACGTTTTTTCAGACCACAAACCACCACTTATATTAAAAAACTTGAAAAATAATAATGCTAGGATCATGAGATGGGCCCTCAGAATCCAACCTTATTCTATTAGTATAAAACACATAAGTGGTCATTGTAATGTAATTGCTGACGCTCTGTCACGTCCTTAATAATTATCAGTTACATTAAAATTTATGTAATTTTATGCCCAAATACCTTTTGTTACTTGCTATGTCAAATTCAGTAGAGTAACTTAATCCCTCCAGCCCATATTAACTATGTATACTCATGTCATGTCTAATTATTATATTTATATATTCACAGTAGTGATGTGTATGAGGAGGAGACATAAGCTGAGTGATGAGTGGGTAGTGTCGTGTGGGCAATGTTACTGCTTGGCGGAACACTGTCCTGCCGCAGACCTACCCCTCACTACACACCTTAAGCTGTTTAATACTCAGATGTCCATACTGCATAGCATTCCACAACCACTACTTAAGAGTGGAATGCATTCTCCTCTATTATGATCAAGCCTCAACGTGTCAGGCTTGTGTACGCTATCCTGTCTCTGCACTGATGTACATAACCACGAGTATGCGGAGATACGATACTGTGTACTGCCCTAGTGCTAGGGGCATAACTTATAGTGAAACAGACACTGCTAAATTATAGAAGTGCTTGGCACAAGAGTGGCTCTGATTAATGTTTATATTAATTAGTCATGTAACCTGAGTAATCAGTAATGTGAAAGACATTAATGCAACTCCTAGTGCGACCGTTTGTCGTGTTGGGGGGGTGTTGCAACCCATGAATGAGTTGCAATGATTATTATGTATATATATAATTATTATCTTTTCATATAATTTTATACTGCTTATATTTACGATAATAGCTAAATCGTGAATATATTGCTTTATAACATTATTTGATGTAGTTATCTTGTTAGGTAGGATGTTACATATTATGTGCTCAGTTCAAGTCTTGATTGTCTAACTACTGTAATTATCGCTTGTGGCTCGTTAGACTGCCGGCTTCTGTTTCCGAGTTGCAGCTGTCCACGGAGCTATCACGTGATCGACGAGGGGGGTGTCCTCACCTCGCCTGAAGTATTCAGTCTGGTCTAGACTCTCTTGGTGATTGGACAGATTGTCTGTCTCATTATTCTTGTTAGTTCTGTAGAACTCTGTTCACAGAACATTGTATAGACTTAGTGATTTTCGACATGGTATTGAGGTTGTGTGTCGCATAGACACTCTGAGCCACTCAGGTCCTGAGCTGTAGCTTCTGACCTAACTTGTACTGGTTTCTGTGTACTGTCACAGTCAGGATTTTCTTATGCTGAACTTAGATTCAGTATTATGGGAGTTTGGTGACTTGTGGAGGATCTGCAGATGGTCCCTACTTAGTGTCGTTATATTATCTCCTCGTTCCTGATTCTGTGTCGCAGTTGCTTGTTATATTGCTGTTCGGCTTATCAGTCGTTTTATTGTTCAAGAAGACTGTTCTGACTGCCAGTTGGTCAAGAAGTTAGTTTATTTGAGGACTTTGTCAGTCACTTGTTTAAGTCTAGTCGAGTCTTGAGACATAGCGATCTACTTAGAGCACTTACACATACATATACACACAAATTTATTTGTACATATTTGTAATATCTTATTAAATGTTAATGTACCAGACGGTACTTAAGAATTATAAATGTGATATGTGCTTTCAGCACATTACTATTGTATATGAGAGAATTATTATTATTTTGATTATTATTAATTTAATTTACTTTGATGATATACCTCTAGACCATAATAATAAATTTATTAAATTTTAATTTCTCTAGTTAGTAGCCTACCAGTTGTAATCCTGAAGCACTATTGAATCATACTGAATTTTGATGGATAATTGGACAAGGATACTGACTAATTGTTACGAAAACCTAGTAACAGGCTGGATGCTAGAAGGGCAGTCCTTTCTAGTATTCACTGGAGATCTCTAAGCGTTTAGAATCGCGTTTTTTGTAACATGGACCAATAGCCTCATTATTCCCATTCCGAAGCCCAATCAACAAAACTCATTTCGCCCAATATCCCTTACTAGCTGCTTGTGTAAAACATTCGATAGGATGATTCTTAATCGTCTTATGCACAGAATTAAGCAATTTTTGTCTCCCCGGTTGCATGGCTTCATGCATGGAAGGAGTGTGCATCATTGCATTACCACCTTTCTCACTCTGCACACTGACAGCTCATACACTACGTTCCTTGACCTTAAATCCGCTTTTGATGTAGCCAACCGACATGTAATCATTAGTGAACTTGCCAGAATTTGCATTAGGAATCCCACAGGGAGGTTTGCTTAGTCCCACACTATTCAATATTCTAATTAATGCCTTGCTTATGCTATGCCTAGCCATCCCCATCATTATATGATTAGTTTTGCTGATGATATAATGATTCACACCACCGGATTCTCCAACACCCAAAACATTCTTAATCATGTACTAGCCTCGTGTCAGGACCTGGAGTTAATAATCTCTGGGGATAAAACAAAGATACTCAATAGGCGTCCTCCTCGGCAGAGAGGCACAGTTCGTCAGATCCAGTTGCATGATGGGTCTCTTCTAGAATATGTAAGCAGATACAGGTATCTAGGCTTTGAGGTTCCACTACTTGGACCTGTTGTAACGAGACTTTGTCGCCAATACAAAGAAAGACTGAGAGCACTTAGAGTTGTGGCAGGTTTTCACCCCATGCCACAACTCATGCAGGAGGAGCCACATGTCTATGGTGCATCCAACAACATAAGCAGACTCTTGGATGTCACTACCGCCCGGCTCCGGCTGGGTTACAAGTATCTTTGGCAGGTTAAATCACCACCACCAGATGTAGACCAAACGAAATGTAAACTTTGCCAGATGGACTATTGTCACACCTTGCGTCATTATGTACTGGAGTGCGATAAAATTAATGAATTCAGAGACAATTCACTCATAAATGTTCAAGAAATGGCAAAGTATTTTATCCACAGTGGTATATTACAGACCATTCTGGAGAAATGCCTTGACTTTGTTAGCTGTAAATAATGCATTACCACGTGTGTGTGTGTGTGTGTGTGTGTGTGTGTGTGTGTGTGTGTGTGTGTGTGTGTGTGTGTGTGTGTGTGTGTGTGTGTGTGTATGTTTGTATGCTCGTGTGCATGTGTCTGTGCGTGCGCCCTCGTGAGTGTACTTGTGCGCGCGCGCTCGTGTGGGTGTATGAAACACTTAATATTTGTATTTATAACTCATTACAATTGTGTCCAAGTGTGGACGTGTCAGTGGCTCACTACTTGTAATTTATTTATGATTGTAACCATGTATAGGAGTATAGATGATTCATTACCTTCGTACTTGTCATGATTGTGACCAGATCTACCTGGAGTTCATTACCTTTGTAACTTGCTCAGCTATCAAAACTTTGGGGTTCAGTCCCTGGACCCATTATGTACCTCTGTAATCTTTTGACTACCGCCCACACCATGGGTATGGGATGCAAAATGAAGATATTAAACTAACTAACTTTGGCGAAGGATCAGCCAATGTTGGACACATTTTGGCAGGTTCCTCGTCGTGGTACACATAATGACAGCAATTAACTTCTCCACAGCTGAACAGTCCTGCTTCGTGATCCTGCATTTTGTTATTGCCCATAGATTCTCAAATAAGTTCAGGTCAGGAGAGTTTCCAGGCCAATTTAAGAACATAAGAAAGAAGGAACACTGCAACAGGCGGAGCAGGTCCATGTCCCCCCCCCCCGCATTAGCCCAATGACCCCTCCCCCTGATTAGCCCAATGACCCAGTCTGGTCACCTCCACTCAAGGATGGAGCACGGCACCAGACCCAGCAGCACAAGCTAGCCAGGTCCAACTCACACCCAACCACACCCACTCATGTATTTATCTAACCTATTTTTAAAACTACACAACGTTTTAGCCTGAATAACTGTACTCGGGAGTTTGTTCTACTCATCCACGACTCTATGACCAAACCAGTGCTTTCCTATATCCTTCCTGAATCTGAATTTTTCCAATTTGAAACCATTGCTGCGAGTCCTGTCTTGGCTGGAAATTTTCAGCACGCTATTTACATCCTCTTTATTTATTCCTGTTTTCCATTTATACACCTCGATCATATCTTCCTTAATTCTACCCTTTTCGAGAGAGAGTGCAGATTCAGGGCCCTCAGTCTATCCTCATATGGAAGATTTCTGATACATGGGATCATCTTTGTCATCCTCCTCTGTACGTTTTCCAGAGCATTTATATCCATTCTGAGCAGCATAGTCTAAATGAGGCCTAACCAAGGATATATAGAGTTGAAGAACAACTTGAGGACTTCTATTATTTATACTTCTAGATATGAAGCCAATAATTCTGTTACTGCTAACCAGAACTCCTAAATCTTTTCGCAATCAGCAGTATTAAGATCTACATTATTTAGTTTATACGTGGCATGGTTATTTAACTGTCCAACATTTAGAACTTTGCATTTGTCAATATTAAACTGCATCTGCCACTTCTCCGACCATTGCATCAGTCTATTCAAATCATCCTAGAGTGCTCCAGTGTCCTCATTAGTATGAATTGGACGGCCTATTTTGGTGTCATCAGCAAATTTGCTTATTTCTCTATTTATTCCCTCATCTATGTCATTTACGTAAATTGTGAACAACAACAGGCCCAACACTGACCCCTGAGGAACACCGATTGTGACATGCCCCCATTCTGATTTCTCCCCATTTATGCAAACTCTTTGCTGCCTATTTGTCAGCCATGCCTCTACCCAGAAAAAAATTTCTCCTCCTATTCCGTGTGCCTTAAGTTTCCTCAATAGCTTCTGATGTGGAACTCTATCGAAAGCCTTACTGAAGCCCATATACACAATATCATATTCATTACCATGATCTACCTCCTCAGTCACCTTAGTGAAAAAAGTTAGTAAATTCGTAAGACAGGAATGCCCCTTTGTAAAACCGTGTTGAGATTCAAAAATCAATCTGTGCCTATCAAGATGGCTACGAATTGCTTTGGCAATTATTGATTCCATAAATTTTCCCATTATGGAGGTAAGGCTTATTGGTCTATAGTTCGAAGCCAAGGACCTGTAACCTGCCTTGTAAATAGGTATTACATTTGCCATTTTCCACTTACCAGGCACTATGCCAGTTTGTAGTGATATGTTAAAAAGATTAGCCAAAGGTATGCTAAGTTCCTCTTTACATTCCTTTAACACCCTTGCAAACAGTTCATCAGGACCTGGGGATTTGTTAGGTTTTAGTTTCTCTATTTGTCTGAGGACCATGTCACTAGTTACCGCAATCGAACATAGTTTATTATCCTGTTCTACATAATCTATTATTTCAGGAACATCGCTAGTATTTTCCTGGGTGAAAACTGAGAGGAAGTAGGTATTGAGAATTTCACACATCCTTATCACTATCAGTGATCTGACCAGAGTTACTCTTAAGTGGGCCAATCTTGTCCCTAATCTTACTTCCGTATACCTGAAAGAACCCTTTGGGTTAGTCTTTGAATCCCTTGCGATCTTAGTCTCATAATCCCTTTTTTGCTTTTCTTATTCCTTTTTTTATTTCTCTCTTTAATTGAATATATTGATTTCTTAACTGCCCATCCCCTCTTTTGATACGCCTATATATGCCTCTCTTTCGACCAATGAGATGTTTTAATCTATTGCTCATCCATTTGGGATCATTTTTGTTAGATCTAATTTCCCTACTAGGAACAAAAGTTGTCTGGGCAGCTAGAACTATGCTCTGAAAAACGTCATATTGGCAACCAAGACCACCTTCCTGACCCATAGTCAGGACATCCCAATTTAGCCCACCCAGGTAATTTTTCAGTCCCATGAAGTCGGCCAAGCAAAAATCTGGGACAGAGATTTGATTGCAGTTATCTGGGTAATTCCATGATATATTGAAACTAAGTGATTTGTGATCACTTCCCTTAGCTCATCATTAACCTCAAGGTTATTAATTAGTGAATCTTTGTTGGCAAGAACCAAGTCAAGCAGATTGCTTCCTCTAGTTGGTTCTGTCACAACCTGTTCTAAAAAGCAATCCTGAACTGTATCAAGAAAGTCACTAGACTCAAGATTTCCTGTCATAGTGTTCCAATCAATTTGTCTAAAGTTAAAATCTCCCATTATCACAACATTTTCATTTCTAGATGCCTTATAAATTTCGTCCCATGACAGCTTACTGCACTCCCTATCAAGATCTGGGGGCCTATAAATCACACCCAAAATTAATTTGTCACGTCCCTCGAAAAACTGTAGCCAAACAGATTCTGTGTTCGATGTTTCTAATCTTATATCATGTCTAAGACAGCAATTTAAATTTTCTCTGACAAACATCGCCACTCCACCACCCTTCCTGTTGACCCTATCAGTATGGAATAGTTTATAACCTGTATGTTGCATTCAGAAGGCCTTTCTCTATCTTTCAGGTTGAACCAGGTCTCTGTTATACCAATAATATCTATATTACCTACGCTGGCAAGTAATCTTAGCTCATCTATCTTATTTCTTCGACTCCTACTATTTGTATAGTAAACCTTAAGGGAACTAGTCACTCGTTGCCCTCTGTTATCTCTCTTTGTTTGTTGATCAATTGATTTGCCATTACTAGCAACTTTATTTTGAATATTGTCTTTTAAACATATCCCTGAGGTATCCCGGTAATAACTGCCTGATTGTTTCCCACAAACACCTATACCTCTATAATCTATCAGTTTAAATTCCTAGACAAGTCATCAGTTACCCTCTCAATTGAATTGGCTAATGCAACCACTCCATCCCCAGAGAGATGAACCCCATCACTTGCATACATATCATGTTTGCCAAAGACTAGGTCCCAGTTATCAATGAATCAGATTTCAAGTTCCTTGCAGTACCCATCTAGCCAGCAATTTATACCAATTGCCCTGACATACATTCATTGCCCACTCCCTTTCTAGGCAAGATGCTACATATGACTGGGATCCCTCCCTTAGACCTAACTACTTCTATGGCTGACCTGTACTTATCCAGCAGCTCCTCTCTCCCTGCCCTTCCAATGTCATTACCCCTAGCACTAAGACAGATAATGGGGCTTGTTCCCATTACCTGCCATAATATTATCCATCCTGCTGACTATGTCACCAATACCAGCTCCAGGAAGGCACACTCTCTGTCTGACCTTTCTGTCTCTGTTACAAAATGCACGGTCCATATATCTTACTTGAGAATCGCCTACTATTAAAATATTCTTACCTTGATTAGCAGGGGAATCAGTGGTACCTTCAATCTCACTAACCACTGAAGTACACTCGTCTTGGAGAACAGAGAATCGATTTCCTACCTTCACATCTTCTCTATTAACTCTCCTCATCTTCCTTCTTCCTGAGCTGTGAACCACTTGCCACTTAAAGCGGCTGCCACTGTCACTGCTGGTGACCATTTCCTCCTTACCAGCTAAATACTTATCATGCTCACTCCCAAACTCATTTATGCGAAGTTTCGGCCTCCTATTTTCCTCCTGAAGAAGTAGAATCTCCTTCTTCAACACTTCTACCTGAGATTCTAAAACACTACAACACCACGCTAACTCCCAAGAGCTTAGGCAGGTATGACCGCAGGTGACCACTGACCTCAGCGTACTGACCACTGATCTCAGCGTAGAATGCTTAGCTCACTCTCTTCAAAGAATGTCAACATTTTTCTGGCAGTGTGGCATGGAGCAAGATCCTGCTGGACGATGCCTTCTCCGTCAGGAAAGTATCCACAATGGGAAGCAAATGAGTTACCGGGACTCCCTTGTATTTTTCATTCTTCATCGTTCTCTCAACAGTAACAAACTATCCACAAGCTACCACTTAACATCTTCTAAGATGATGTTTTGGAGCTTGTTGAATGTGTCCATTCGGAAGAGGTTCGCCTTTGCTCCGTCTCACTATCACTATATCAATGTACTTCAAAATGCGCACCATATCTGAAAATATAACTTCTCTCCATGCATCTGTCATCCAGCCCTTACGATCGAGTGCCCTCCACAGCCGTTTTTTCTTATTAGCAGCAGTCAATAATTATTTCTTTACTAGCTTTCAGGAAGTTCTGCCAACTACATGGAGCTATCATCGAATAGTTGACGAATCAACATCTATTTTTTATTTTTATTTATTAATTTGAACATGATACAGAGAAGTACAAAAGAATACAGTTAAGTGCAGCATGCCAAAGCCACTTGTATGCAGAGCATTATGGGCAGGCTTAAAATTAACAAGATTAACTAAGCAATGATGTATTCAGTGGTAAACATTATTGTAAACAGATTACAATTAAGCTTAAGTAACAATTAGTTTTAGTATTACAAAGACAGGTCATATGGTTGCATGCATTGCTGTACGTTCAGTAGTATGGAGTATTCTGTTGGGCAATGTAATTAAAAGATAACAAAGTTTGATTGAATCTCAGGTTACACATTTATGTGATGCAATTATGAGAAATATTTAAGATATACAATTTATAAGATACAATTATTCAGTATTTATTTGGTTGTGGGTGAGTAAGTGATTTTTGAGAAGAGACTTGAATTTATAAACAGACAGTGTTTCTTTTATAATTACAGGTAATGAATTCCAGATTCTAGGGCCTT